TTCGTCTGTGTTCGGCGTCTCTCTCCCAAATAGAATGGCCATGGCGATTCTAACCTTATTTGCTACTGACTCCTCAACGTATAGTTCTCCGACACTAGTTGAACGACATTCGTATTTTTCTCTTCCATCCAAGTTACAAATTTATCATATTCTTTTTCAGAATTTCTTGCACTTATAAGAATAGCCGCATTCACTGCTTCGTTGTTAATGCGGCTATTCTTATTCGTGCAAAAAATAACATTATAAACTAATGGCACAATATACTATTTCAATACTGTAAACGTGATTTAAGAATTCAACTACTAGAGCTACAACAGATTCATTTTTGCATTATTTGTAAAAGCTACAAAATGTTATAATACTAGACTACTTGGACTTGCGAAAGTGTTTCCAACCAGCAAAATATTTTTACTTTATCGCATAATACATACTATAGAATATTATGTAAAGCTAGAGAAAAAACTGCTATTGTTTGGAATAAAACTCGTTCTTACATATGGCAAATAGCTTCATTTAACACGTTATCTAATCAGAATCCACGTTTCGTGAGCCCTTGATACCGAAAAATTGGTTTGCGACAAAACGACTGTCCGTCCGTTGGACTGTGAACAACGCTAGCAGCTAAACCGTAAGCAGAATCTTCACCCAAATCGATATTTCACAACTGATCTCTTTGAACCCCCTTGAATCTGAAAATTATATTTTAATTTTTGGAAGTAATTTGCATGAATTCATGCATGACTTTCAAGAAATTTTCTATTTGTTTTAAGCTGTTCTAAATTTTTGGATTAAATATTTTTGACCGAATAGATGAAATAACGCATATAAAAATGACGCAGGTCTAACGATCGTTCGGTTCTCTAAATTTCCAAAAATTGCAAAGGTTTAAAATGTTTTCATGTTTTCTTACAATATGGAAGGTTGCGATTTTCTTCTTCAAATTGTGCGAAGGCTGGTGCAGACGTCTTGACAACTTTTTTTCTAAAAGAAATATTATATAATCACATAATTTCATTTGTCACGTGAAAAATGCAGTACTGGTGTGTGGTTACAATAACAGTTCTTTGAGTGAGTCTATTCGCAGAGAGAGCAAAGTGAAACCAGTTGCTTAACTACTGCCGTGCGAGATGAATGTAGCCCCTTTCGAATTATTTGTGCAATAACGAGTGGCCTCGGGCAGTTAGGGCCTCTTGTTTGAAACAAACGTTCCACAGAATTCATTTTTACATGTAACAGAAATATCTTATACAGATTAATTTAAATTTGATGTAAACAGACATTTTGTATGTTTTGAATGCAAAAAGAAACAATACGGGGCCCCAATCAAGTGGGGCTCTAGCACAAGTTTCCCATCTGCCCGGCCCCTTTCTGGACACTGCTGTGCCTAATACGATACTATTTTTCTCTTTTGTTGTTTTCATAATTTAAAAAATATTAAAACATACAAATTTAAAACTTTATATTTGTGGGGTGTCTTTCTGCTATTAATACAGTTCTTCACGAAATACTACCAGAAATTACTTCTTGTTTGGAACTTACGATTCTTTTCTATATCGATGGCTTAGCTCACACGTATTGTATGTCCAGAACTCCCAGTTTCGAAGAAACCAACGCCTGATAGTTTGAAAAGATGCAGTTACGTATGAACGGATAGTGTTTTCTTTCTGGGAAAAAGCATGATCCGTCTTATAGGGACATACCATTTCTGTATACGAGGTAGATATAAACGAGAGATCTCCAAAATTTATATTAACTCTAAAGTGATCATGATTGGAAAAATTATGTTTGCTCACAAAGCCATCGATATATTCACATTATTTTGATCTTTTTGGAAAGGACAAACATCGATTGATCATCTTATCAATATTAATATCTTTTCAGAATAAGTGAAGTGAAAATAAGTAACATTCTCTTCTGAAGGGAAACTCTCAAGTAAGATTATCTTACGACATACCTTGATATTCCATACATGATATGAAATGTAGTTTTTACTTCAAATTTTCATTCAATTCTGTCCACTTGTCCCGAATCCGAACAGCTGTGTCGGTTTTGGTGCGACATGTGTTCGTGATGTATTTATGAAAGAGATCGTAGACATAGTTTGTAGATACATATCATCGTAGATATAGTTTCAAATTGTCACGAGGCATATCGGCGCCAATAAGCGATATAGATTCTAATTTTTTACTTCTATAACATTAATGTTGTACTTCGCGCGTCGTCCCGTGTGCGGGCCCTGGCCCACTAGCGACATCCCGGCCTCGCGGTCGTGGGTAAAGGGAGTACGTGTGTTAGCACGAAGGAAGCATGTCTTCTCAACCCGAGAAATGAATGTTCGTCATCACACAGAAACCTATACTGGGAAATTGCTAGGAAAGTGCAATCTTGCCTGGCCGGCAATCGAACGCGGGGTCGGGTCATGAAAAGCGAGCAACTGATCAATGGACTAAGCCGCCAGGCTTCTATAGTATTAATTTTATTACTATAATAAATTAGCTCCCAATCATTAACGTTCTTTGATGTAATTACGGACTGAAAAATGCTTGGACATTGCACGCAATACATTATATTTTTTCTAAAGAAATATTGAATTACCATTTGTAAAAAATATGTAGATTTAGCTCATAATATGAGGCTCGTTAGCTTTTCATGGAAATCAAGATGCAATTGAGCATCGTTCACAAAATGACGCTTGCAGGTGGCGGTGACCATGTTGCAAGATCAATTGATGAGATGGCTGGACAAGAAGAATTAGGAAAGTATTGCAATAAAAATAGTGTGTATTTATAATATGAATATTTCTTTGTAATGTCATGCGAGAAGTAAGTGGCAATTAATTTAAGTTATTCGAGTAAAACAAAATTTGTGTAATTTAAGTAATTCGAGCCACTGTTACCACACTATCATAAATATTATCGGTCATAAAATATTCGCCATTTTCTCCCGCGGTGTTACAATTATTTCTCCTCAACAGAAAGCAAAAGAACTTAAGTTGGTAATAAAAATGGGATCATCCTTGAAACAAAGTAGCCGAGACTTGATATTGTGTTGAACTCGTCTCAATCTTCCCCGCACTCTCTTACGAAACCAACACTGAGTCGCAGTGTTAGCGAGGGGGAGTATAAGGGTGCTCTCATCCAGTCACGACCTCCAACACGCGCCCCAGTTACCAAAGCGGATTCCCAGAGCCCTCTGTCGGCCGCCGGGGAAAATCACCTCAAAGAGGGCGCGTCGTCGGGGGGAAACAGGAGGAGGAGGGGGGGAGCGAGAGCGTCGCAGACGGGACCAGCCGCCGCCAAGAACAAGACGCAGCCAAGCGGAGGAACGCAGTTTAGTCTGGTCACTGAACTGAGTCACATGGCTCGCAGGAAGGCGGGAGGGGTGGAAACGCGAGGGAGAAAAACGGAGACGATATAAAGGAAAGAACAAATCATGAGGCTGCGAACGAGAAAAAAATAACGCGATTTCTTAGTTTTTATAGATATACTGTTACAGTTAACAAAACGAATTATGACGCTGGGAAGGAAGTCGATGTTTGTAAGAGCCGGTGCAGCGTCTTGTATCGCGAGCTCCATCAAGGCTTCGCTTACTTTAAGCCTCGGACAAGGCGGGCGACAATAGAGATGTGGACAAAAGCGCGGTGGATGAGTAGGAAGCCTGATGGGGCTTCCAGGCCAGGGAGTGCCCCGGCGTTGCGGACGGAACACGATGGCTTCGGCGACCCCGACACCGGTGCGCAGTTCCCTGTTGGACGAGCGAACAAAGCAGGTGCGAGACAAAGACTGCCGAGGAACCGAGGTGACCTCACAGGGCTGCGGAGAGGAACTTTTGATATTCCTCTTTTGTCCTCGAGTTGAAGCGGTCAGCGGGAGAGTAGATTGCGAGGGGTTTCTCTGGGGTTTGATCTTCAAACAGTGGACTTATCAACAGGAATCTGCACAATCTCTTGCCAGCGGACGTTTTATGATCGTCTTCTGAAGGAAAGCAAGTGAAAGAAAATGGTACTCGTATACTGAACCCGAGTAAGTGCAACTAGAGCACAGAAAAAGAGAAATAGGAAGGACGAGAAAGGAACTGTATAGACAAACCAGAGAAGTATCACAGGAGGAAATAATAATTAATTTGAATTACAGCTATTGCTATCGTTTTTACCAACCAAGTAGCAAAACGCCGGAGGCAAAATATTTTATAGTAGTTTATACATTTGGATCGTGTAGTTTGGCCACTTATGTTGAAGGGTCGGAATGTAAAATTTTGTGAAACTTTTAACAAGTATGTTAAAGGAAGTGTTATTTAATAGTCTCGAGTATAACTCAAAACTCGCATTCCTGATATCTTCTTCTTTATATTATAATGTCATGATATTTCTCTTTTTTACCCATATTTAAAGTGTGAAGTAAACCAATACATATTGCATTATTATAGTAATTGTGTAATATAATTTCGCCTGGTTTTGGTTTCGAACTTTTTGGTTCTGTACCTTAATTTGTTTGGAAACCTGTTTTCATCGCAAGAAGATAATTTGATTCGCTTAAGATGCCTACCAGTTAGGTATATTCCACATACTTTAACGGTTTAATGGTTGACTATGCCCTTACCAATTTTATTATCCACATAGCAAACATTGAAAAACATGATCATACCATGTGGGTTGCTAATTAAGATCACTGTATTTGTGGATAAGTTACTAAGACTCTTTTGTTTGTATTGTTTGTACGAGTAATTTATATTTATGCAAATGACCTATAGTACAAAATAGAAATCAAAATTTAATATTTTACAGCGTGAGTACTGTATATTATAACTTCTTCACTTGCGATATCTAACACTGATGTTAATAGAAATCAATTATTGAAGAGACTGCTTATACGGGTTGCGCAAATCTATCAGTTAATGTTAATAATACTCATTGTGTTAATATTCCCAAATATGAAGGACATTCCACATTGTTTTCGAAGAACTGCTGTAGCCCTATACGTCCAGACGCCCGCAAACCTAAGTCAGCCCTTAGTATTTGCCGCACCTGTAAGACGTACGGCTACATGACGAGATTTTGCTTTAGAAGTCACCACACATTTCCCTGCAGAATTCTTATTGCGTAATTTGCTAGGTAAGTCAGTCCACTTCCACACCCTTATTGCCACAGCTATCTTTGCTACTTTAGCCTCGTACACCTCTGCTTCTCTGACCCGGCGTCCTAGAGTCTCTGATCATTGATCTCATACATTTTGCTATTAGGATTTCTCCCCCGATCTGCTCGCATAGACCCTCACCATCCTCACGTCCACTCTCCTCCCACTCCGTTGGTCTCCGGCGCGGCCAGCTCTTACGCTAACTCTCCCATTGTCCCCGCTTTCCCCGGCCCGCCTCCCCGCCATCCTTCACCATCGCCCTCGCCCTCTCTGACGTGGCCGGCTCTTTGGCCGTTCCCCTCATTCCTCCCCCCTCCGCCTCCGTCGCGGCGCCAGAAGAAGCGGCGGTGGAGGCGGCGATCCCGCGCGTATATCACGGCGGGCGGGCGGCGGCGGGAGCGGCCATGCCTCACGGTGATAAATATCGCCGTTTGATCCACGGCGGTCAGCGTAGCGCGACGCGCCGCGACCCTTCGCCCGCGCGATGCTCCTCGTGCCCCCAGCGCGCTCGCCCGCTGCCGCCCACCTCCGCAAAGACGATCTCGATATCGGTCCCCGCCGCACAACACTCCTCGTCCGCTGCCGGCCTGTCCTTCTTCCCCGCTCCAGCGCACGTCTTTCTCTCCGCTCTGACCCGCGCCTTGTCTTTCCGCCGCGCCGGGCCTTCCTCACCACTCCTTACCCCTTCATCCTTCTCTCTCGCTCCGCGGCCGCCTGCCTCCGAACACACGTCTAGTTCGCATACATGCCCGGGTGCACACCAACCTTTGCCCTGCCCTCGCCTTCTACGGCCTGTCCGCGCTCTGCTTCGGACACATCTGCCCACACTTACGAAAGTATGCATCCCTCTTTGCCGTCTTGCTTTTCCGTCCCCTGCCTCTGTCGTTCCTTTCGCCTCTCCCTTCGCTCCTGCATCCACTCTTGTCTCCGCTCCTACCTCCATCTAACACCCGCCTTTGCCTTTCAGCCTCAGCAACCGCTTCTACCACTCCGGCCGAGGGAGCTCAGGGCATCAACGGATGACATTGGAACGCCTGTGACCAGGAGGTTATAGTTGGGCTCCCGTCGGTGGCAGGATTTTCGTCGCACTCAAGATAATAAGATCGAAATCAACCGCTATCTAGAGGAACATTCGAGAGGCCGATTGCTCTGATGGGTAGTTTTCTTCCGATCAACACCAGGCGAATGAAGGGGTAGTGTCCTAACAAATGCGCGACCTTTTCTTCCTATTCCTTATCACATTCTCCCCTACTCAAACACTCTTAATTGTACTACAGAACCACACATGTCGGACGACTAGTCGGGATGTGAGAGATTGTCTCGGCTGAGGCCGTTGATGTGAGACGCCTCGAGGGTGAAAACAGTGCAAGCTGTCGTGTAGGTCCAACACAGATGTCACCATTCAGCAGTTAAAGATAACTGCCACCTCCCGTGATAAAACATGCACTATACTTACGCGACAAATGACCTTAGTGGTTGGCGCATCCGGAAATCCGAAATAATTAATGAAACAATGCATTTAGATTTGCGATTATGACATTTGAATACAACTCGCCCTCTGCAACTGTGATCAGTGCAAACTATTACAGTCATAAATAGAGGGTTTAGTAGTGAATTACGTGAATTTACTGTCATGCACTTTCATCTATTTTGTTTTATTAAAGATTTGTTGGTACTTTTAACAACTGTTATCTTAAATGAACCGTATATTGTTATTTTAAATATTTTGGCGTTTTATTATTTCGTTTAGTTCCTATGTTAATATTTTAGTTTCTAATTCTTTATGAATATTTTATGTTTGTTTCTACACTGGCCTGAGAACATTTCGTTAATATTTTTCTCCATCTTATTGTATTTAATTATTACGTTTTTGTTTTTCAAAACATTAAAGAAAATGTTTTCTATTTCAGCCATGATTAAAAACTACAATTATATTTTCGAGGAAAATTAACATGTTTGTTTTTACAATCACATGATCTGACCTTGTAGGCCTGTTTTGTATCTTTTTAACTTTAAATGCTTTTTAATTAATTTTAATTCTTAATACTACGATACTGTCATTCTTGTACATTTAAGTAAATTTGTACATTTTTAAATTTAAGTAAAATTACAAATTTAACAAATTTTCTAATTCAAGTAAATACTCTTTGAAAAGAATTTTGAAAGATCCCCTGCGTTGCTGTGGTGATGGGGCATAGTATTGTCTGTACAAAATCTAGCGGTTGAGGCAAATTGACAAAGGAAAGTAAAATTTTTTGTGATATCATTCTCTACGATATAACATAGTGGCAAAGTAAGTTGTGTAATTCAATTGTTATAGAAGTACACCAAAACACTTGTAATAAATGTTGCAATATATTTGAAATTACCTCACTATTTGCAATTATAAATTTATAGTCAGTATTTAAATAACTTTTGACGTTTATTTACAATATTGGTTTATATGCGAGTCTCCATGGTTTGATCCATAAGTGATATAGTGAAGAGGATAACGAATAATCAAAACAATGTAATTAGAGGTTTAAAAATAAGTTACATCATCTTACTAAATCACTCTGTTGTTTTCCAGAGCTTAAAAAATGATTTAAACATACGGCAGATAAGGTGGATTAAAAATCCACAAGTTTATGATTCATATACGCTTAACCATCTTTATGATGAAAAAAAGTGGTACACACATTTCTAATTTTATATACTGGAGGTCACGGATTTGACGACACAAATTCGAGCACTAAAAACCTCGCTACGGGAGTTGGAGCATACCTGATTTAACAAATACCAAACACTTCCAGACATGAAAGGGCTACGTACTACCATTTCCATGGAGAATTTCTTTTTTTAAGTTTGCAATAGTCAGATTAGATGATAAATCAAATAACTTACCATGAAGTCGTATGTGATCCAGAATTTTTCTACATTGTCTGTACTTTCCTTCGTTAACTTGGACCATTCAGTAGTTGGCTGTAAACAAAAAAGGCTAATTAGTCAACATTTCTTTGACACTATTGAAAATGTAATCATTCTTCTTTACATGCATCAAGAAGATATATTTCAGAACCATCATATCTTCTTAGATTAATGTTTCAAAGAAACCTTAAGCATGACAAAATTGACCTCCCTATTGACTTGAAATTATGATAATGTTAAAATTAGGAAGAAAAACGATACAATTGAAACTGGAAAATATATTACAATATTTTTGTATTTTTATGAACTAGTATATTTTTTTTAAAAAATGGTTGCCCTATTCGGAGGAGTTCTAAGAAAATAGTGACTATGACCGAAGCAATTAGTCTGCTGAGACATTAACCTATCCCTGCGTAATTATTATCAATAAAATCATATTCACTGCTCTGCCAGTCAAATTTAGAATTTGCGGGTGGATTATTAGTTATTATTTGCTCCCAGTAATTTTTGTTATTATTTGTGATTGTCAATAATTCTGTTACACTCTTCGCCGACGCTCCTCTCAGTTTCTTTCTCTTTCTCTCTCTCTCGCTCTCTCTCCTTCTCTCTGTCTAACCATGCTATACGTTGCTTCTAAGGTCGTTTCCCGTGTCGTCCCCGCAGTGCTGGAGAAAGAGTGCGTTGAAATAGCAAGGACACAGGTAAGCGGTGTTGATCTTGCTTTTGCTCATGAGCCGAAGAGAGGAAACAAACTTGTTGGAAGGGAAATAAGTACGACAGTGAACGAGACACGACCCCATGCAATTCATGTGGTTCCCGCAACGATACTTCGAGGTATCCTAACATGGTGGACGAATGAACGGTTTTCACTGATCCCCGCAGGTGTGGTGATTTCATTTTCAGTACTCTATTGATAGAATCTTTTTAACATTAAGATCATTGAGGGCCATATAAGAAACAACTTTGGTTAAAGTAGATAATAGAGAATACCCTAGTGAAGTGAGCGAAGGAAGGGGGAGAAGAAGAGCGGATGGGGAGAGGGCGAGAAATGGGAAGTCTCTCCTTATACATCCCTCCCTAAAATTACGAAAAGCGCTCTGAAATAAATGAATAAAACTTACCAAAGCGCGATATCTTGAAGTTTCGTGTAATTTGGAGACGCGCCCAAACAATGACACGAACCTTTCATACTTATTTTCCTTCTCGTAAACCACGTGCTCTTTTGCCCAGAACACTTAGGCTCGGCCTGTCAAAATACGCCTGCGCGAGCTACTTGCCAGTCTAGGAGGCCAGGTGTTCGGGCGAGGCCAGGTTTTCCTTCTATATACAGAAAGGGTTTTCATGGAGAAAGCTGTTCCCTTATCTCTACTTCAACCCTCAGCTTTCTGCGTGTCGGACCTTCGAAATGTGTCTTCTCTTGCACTAGTGAAATATATTCAATGGTTTCCTCTCATATTAGCATTAAATAAAAAAGTAATATTCGTAACATGTATTAATAACTTATACCTGAATTAAAACCATCAAATGTATTTATATAAGACGTAAATATCAAGTGATATGTGTACCATTCATCTTATCATGGTTTCAAAAATCGAGAAGCTAAGGGTGTGTGGAAGGAAGTTTTTATCTGTAAATTTGTTTCATGTCTTTTCAATTAATTTCGATTGGGAGAATGGTAGTTAGCAATTTATTCCATCTTCTCGGATATGTTACAACTTCAAGGGAGAGAAATTGCACGTCCTACGAATTTTTCAAGGGGCTAGAGCTGCGCATTCTGCGCAAAACGTCAAAGAAGGAAGGCGCGGAGTAAGAGCGGGAAGGCGCTTGCCGTGAACGCAGGCTGTTATGATTCCGGGAAAGCACCGAGCGTGGGGCGGCCAGCCGATGGCCGCCGTCGATCGCGTAGCAGTCTGCGTTCGCTCGTGGCGCGTTGAATGGATTCTGAAAATCAGACGTCTTTCGAACGCGCTGTCCTACTCTTTCCAGAACGTCGTCACCGCTCACATCCAACAACTAATCATGTAATACAATTATAGTAGTGAGAAAATAGGGCTGAAGGCACGCAGCTCTGGAAGAAATAAAATTGCAATGGAGAGGAAAATATGGAAAGAGTGCGTGAGTTTGCATCAAGATATTCCTTTATCAATAAACACAGAAATAACATCAGAGTTTAAAATTATGTCGTATTATGCAAATATTATCTTTGGATAAAGAAACTAAAATAATAAATTATAGAATATGTTCTTAAATTATATGTCAGTTCAGTAGAGGAGTTCTTATATTCATGCAAGAAGAGCCAGTGGGTTCCAAGCTAGCATTTCAAAAAATATATCAAAATCTGTAACATCATGTACATAAAGAAAACCACACAGTCGATCGAATATTCTCCGTTTTCATTTATACTTGTTTGTATTTGTATGCATTTGTTTGAATCTCGTATGATGGATAATGTTTATTTCTAATCCTCGAGGTGTCCGAATGTGTTTTGTCATCCAGAACAAAGTCTATTTCAAAAGATTTCCCTGGAATTTGCACAGCCATCTGTAATGTAATTTTTCGTTTCCCAGCCCCATTCTGCGCAGGTCAAGCCGACCAAGCCGGGAAGAAGGTGTGGCGGTGCCGCTGCTAGTGCGACAAACGCCGATCGTTCGCGACCGCCAATGTCAACGGGACGCTGGCGGTGGCGGCGGCGTCGCGCCGACCGCTTGACCGTGGCGAATGCTCATTATCGGCGCCGCCATCAAGATCCACGGCGCACGCGCAGAAGCGACGCGGGGACGGCAGCGAAGGCGGTGGCTGCGGCAGCGGAAGCAGGCGCTGCCAAGGTGAAGGTCTCGGAAGTACCTCTGCTTCTAGTTGTGGATGTACAAGATAAGATTTAATAAGATGTAAAATGTTGGACAAAAATAAAATGACTTCCGGGTGTTGAACATAACATTACTTTTATTGGAGAGATAACTAAAAAAGAGCCTTGGAATTAAAAACAAGTACTTTTCAAGACTATGTCTTTAAAAGGAATAATCTTACAACAAAACATTGCACGGACGTTTCTGTAGGAAATTGTATTTACTTTAATTTTGTATAGAGCATAATTTTCTACAGGTTTGATAAATATGGAGATATCGGCAAAAAGTTTAGAAAACTAAATTCAAACGGCCCCTGCACCCCTATCTCACGCTCACTTTCGGGCTTTTAATACACAGGCAGTAGATACCAACAGACAATCATGCCCAAATTTCAAAACTGGGAATTTTTTATTCAATTTATCTAATTAGACTGGGCTAGACGAGAACAAGGCGCATGTGAAGCGGAATGAAGCAGAGTTTGGAACAAGGGGGAAGCGGAGTGGGAGCGAGGGGTTGAGGGGCGATAGAGGGGGGAAACTGTGAAGAGAAGAGTGGAAACAAGGGCAGGGGGACCTGCCTGAGATAGTTGCGGCAACTGAAAAACGAAGAGTGGGGTTGAGAAGGGAAAGGAGGTGGACGAAGGCGGAAATGGAAGAAGGATCAGAGCTATAACCTCTACTTCTTTGGAAGAGGAGGTAAATGCTTTGTAGTTATAATAGTGGATTTCATTGCGTTACGGAACGGTGCATTACAGATTCAAAGAAAACGGGAGCGTTGTTGACATGCTGTCAAATGATTGAAATAAACGTGAACGAAAAGAAGGACAACGAGCTCCTGTTGCAAGCACGGAAGTGACGTGACGGTCAGAGCAAGGTTTCGCGCAGATGAGCCTGTCGTCGACCGCAAGAAGCAGCGAACGGGCTGCGCAGGGAGGAGCCGGGTCCGGGCGGGCCAGTGGCCTCAAGACCGGCAGTTGCGAGGCAGGCGGTGACCGCGGCCGCGTGGCGATGTGTCCCTGCGGCGGCGGCGGCGGCAGCGGGGGCACGGGTTCGATGCAATCGCGCGGTCGCCGGCGCCGGCGGAGCGGAACGCGTGGGAGGAGGGGGAGGGGGCGGCGCCCGGAGACAGCAGGTGCATTCACCTCTCCGACCGCCCCTCGTCGCCCTGCCTCCCCTCTGCCGTTGGTGCTCACACGCGGTGAATCTGATAGCTCTGTCGAGTGTTGTTATTATAATATTCTCAGCACGGAGCTAGTATAGAAGGCGTTTTCCTCCCAAACGTCTACGCGAGTCACCAACGTTATGGTATTTCAGAAGGCAGTCAGTGATTAATGAATCATGAAAGATGGAATGCAAATAATATACATTTAATTTCACTTTCCGCACTGATGCTCTTACCTTTTTAAGAGGATTGACATCTAGAGAATATCGAGTTGCACGTTGTCTTTGCAGAGGCGGCCAAATGTCGACACCCCTGGACAGTTAATCTCGTGTTTGTCCCTGCATTTGGGTATCCGTTATGTGAGATGCAAGTACAGTGAAAACTATGACGATCATTGTTCATAACGAAAACAAACATCAGTATTACAGATCAGAATTAAGAAATATTCTAGAAAGAGAGAAAAAGATAACGCAAGGAAAATTACGAATCAGTTAGTGTTTTACTATACATTTCATGAGAAATTCGTTTCTTATGAATTAGCCCACTTCGGAAACCACCTCTGTGAATTGCAATATTGTAGCACTAGAAGCAGGCCGAATTATCGACCATCGTATTTCTTTGACACCGTTTACGAGGAATATTTTTTTAAAATATTTTATATAAATCGCACTTGAAACTATAATGACAATCTACTTTTCTTTTTACGATCTATTCCGTAACAAGATAATTTATTGTTCTGTATAAAAATATACAGATGATTCAAAATCTCTAAAATTAAATAGAAAGAATAGTTCAATATCATAATGTCTCTTGAATTTCTATAGTTGATCGAAAATTCCATTTCGATGTTGTATCATCCGTAGGTTTGGGTATAGGTTAACAGAATAATCACGTACAATTATGTGGATCATATCTACGTCTTTCTTTGGCTGCAACACTGGCACAACTAAAAAAAATACTAACTTTATAATATACGAGAGTTGTGAATATTTGTTTAGCACTATTTTTATAATAGTTACTGTTAGCCATTTTATAACAGAATCTCTATGAAACCTTTCAGTTACATATTTATACATCAGCTATCAAGCATGTGATTGATGCATCTTTATTGTCAGCGAAAACTTTCAACACCTTTAAGTTGTAACTTTATTTTTAGAATCGTGCCAGTATTACTGTTCATAAACGACATGATATTCTGTAATATTTCAATTTGAATGTCTTTACAGCCAGAGTTCTATGGACTATGGAAAATATAGTTAGTTACTCAGAAACGTTATGGTCTTTTCAAGCAATACCCTTCTTAATATCACAATTTGCTTTAAGAAAATATCAAGAAAAATATTTTTGGCTATTAAGTAATATTATATATATATATATATATATATATATATATATATATATATATATATATAACAAAATATTGTTTACACTTCCGTATCCCAATAATCCCGATATCCCCAAATCCTAGGATGAAATAGGAAGGGTTGTTGTAACTGCCCTAGTCTTGTTCCTACATGCTGTGGCTGTTGTACCGCACTGTCTTCAGAAAATACGACTTGCGATTCTTCTTTGGAGCTCATTCGACTCAAGTTGTTCCTTTGATGTGCCGTATTGACGTTTCGTAGGTTTTCCTTGGTATTTTCATCGTTAACATTAAACATTATTTGTGAAGTATGGCTCATTTGACACCACTTCTGCCGTAAAGAACCGTACTACAAACTAAAAGTCAAAGGAGAATCCAGAAAGCAATTCAAACGAGGTCAATTTGAGTTTGGTCTCTCTAAATATTTTCGGAACCATAAAATTGTGTAGCTTGAAATTAAAACATATTCATAATAGAAAAACACCTTCGAATCTAATTCACTGCTTAATTGGTAATTGTTTTGAATAAATTGAGTAAAAGTACACTAACATTTTGACTCGGAGAGGGTGATCTTGGAGACCTGAATCCGCCACCACTGGCAGGCACACCCCGTCGACGACACCTCCAACGACGTCAGCTGCGGAGGCACCGGCCGCAGGCAGCCACTGCATACGCCGCCCGCCGGCGCAGACACGCGGGGCTAGCGCCGCCTGCCGTATTTCTCCGGAACTCGCATGCGCTTGCCGCCGCCGCCGCCCATCTCGTTCTTTTCCGCCGCAGCCATTCCCCGGCCGGAATTTAACTGGCCCCGCTCCGCGGAGGGTCATTTGGTGGTCATTTTATAAAATTGCGGGACAATTCCGTCGGGAGGGACGCTGGATAAACCTTTTATTGTCTCAGGCCGGAGTGGCCGCTGTTCTAAATCCTGCTGCTGCCACCGGAATGGCTTCGAGCGCGGCCTGCCGAATCTATGCACGTTTGCCGAGCGAAATCTCTGAAGAGATCCCGCGCACGAAGGATTGTGGATGTGGGCGGGGAACGAGGTCCTCGCCTCGCCTCGCCTCGCAGCGCAGCGCGACGAGAA